ATAGTCTCCAATACTTGTTAGTCTTTGTTAATTGTTAGAGTAATTTTGTTAGCCTTAGTTTATTCATTGTCTTGTTGCTGCTATCTAAAGTAAAATTGATAGAGTTAGGATAGGAGATATAAATTGTAATTTTTGCTCTAGGTAGTAGTAACGACCTATTACCACCCGATCAAAATTTTGGCGCCGTTGCCGGGGAGGCGGCTTGTTTTGCACATTTATTTGCGTTATAAGTGGATTTGTTGCTTTTTTTTTATTTTGTTCTTTTTCCACTTGCTAGTCATTTCTAATTGTTTTCTTAGATTTGGTGAATGCAAATAAGATCTCAAGGACCACCTACTCACAACATTGATCACGAAATCGACCGCACCTTAAGACAAGTCCGTAGACTTTATCAAGAAGAGGGGCGAGGTTTTGGTGCCATTTTTGATAGTGAAAGTGATTCTAGGTCCTCACATTCCCAAGGAAACGAAATGGCGGGACAACAAGCGGATGTTTTATTTCGTGAGTTCGATAATCCGGAGGATTATGAGCTCACCGGTGGGATATTGCTACCCGTCACGGAAACTAACTTCACCATCCATCCTCAATACACTGGAATGGTTCAAGCGGAGCAATTCTCGGGTTTGCCAAGTGAAGACCCCATTGAGCATCTTGATAGATTTCTTGAACTTCGTGCCATGATACAAACCAACCAAGTTTCTCAAGAATACATTCGGATGCACCTATTTCGACAATCTCTTGCGGGGAGGGCAAAGAAGTGGCTCAAGCAAGTCAAGCCTAATTCTCTCACAACATGGAGGGAAATCATCCAAGCATTATTGAAAAGGTTCATCTCCAAAGAGAAAACCGCCGACATGAGGAGGAAGATTGCATTTTTTGAACAAGAAGCGGAGGAAAGCCTTAGTGAAGCTTGGGAGAGGTTTAAAGAGTTGGTGCAAGCATGTCCTCACCATGAATACAATCAAAACTTACTCATGAGGTTCTTCTATGATGGCTTGGAACCGATGTCTCGAGCTAATTTGGATGCAGGGGCGGGTGGACAATTGATCAAAGTCCCTCAAAATCAAGTCGAATCAACAATTGAAGAGGTAGTTAAAAACTACTCTTGGGGAGGTAGAAGGAGGAATGCGCCAAAGAGAGGTGGAAAATATGAGTTGGAAAAAGTTGATCAATTGCAACATCAAATTGAGCTTTTGACAAAGGGGCTCGCAAAGTTGAACACCAATGTCACTAGTGGTGCAAGCTCCTCCCAAGTTAACTCTTTCTCTTGTCAAAATTGTGGTGGCACAAACCATGATACATCCTATTGTGGAGGTTTAAGCCCGGAGCATGTAGCGGCTTACAACACAAGGCAAGAAGGATTTAAGGGAAATGGAGGAGGAGTAGCTTGGACACAACCACCAGCCGGATTTGGAAACCAACCCCAACAATGGAATCAACAATGGAACTAACAACAAGCTCAACAACCATACAATTCCAACCTTCGATACCAAAACCCTTCTCCATACCAAAACCAATATCAAAACCAAAACCCAAGAGGAAACTACCCTAAGAGCCATAAAAAAAATAACCAACACCAATACTAAAATCAAAACCAAGCAACTCAAAGAAGTCGAGAGCAAGTGTCTCAACCCAATTCTACTCAAACCCAAATTCTTCAACAACTTCAAGCTATGAACCAACAAATGAAAGAAGTCAAGGCCCATAACAAGATGGTTGATTCACAACTAGCTCAATTGGCCAAGAGGGTTCCTTTCAACCCACCATCTACTTTACCCGGGCAAACACAAACTAACCCTTCCAACATTGTGAAACCCGACTCTTGTAAAGCAATCACATTGAGATCTGGCGCATCCTATGAGGGTCCTAAGGAGGGAGTTAGTCAAGAAAAGAAGGGAGAATAAGAGGTAGTTCCAGAGAAGAAGAATGATGAGAAAGAGAGTAGTATTGAGAAAAAAGAAGTCTAAGGATGTGGTAACATCCTCAACTTCTAGTGAAGCTAGAAATCTTGATGGACTGGTTCCTTTTCCCGGTTGACTTGCGGAGAGAAAATTGAATGACAAATTTGCAAAGTTCCTAAGTGTGATGAAGAACTTGCACATAAACCTCCTCTTCATTGAGGTAGTCACACAAATGCCTTCATACTCCAAGTTCTTGAAAGACATTCTCACAAACAAGAGGAAGCTCAATGATGAGCTTATCACTCTTCCCCATCAAGTGAGTGCACTTATTCAACACAAAATGCCAAAGAAGCAAAAGGATCCGGGAAGCTTTACCTTGCCGGTCAAGATTGGGAACATGGAAGCTAGGGGTGCATTAGCCGACCTTGGAGCAAGTGTTAGTTTGATCCCTCTATCCATTGCACAAAAGCTTAACATTGAGATTATCCCCACAAGAAAAAACATTCAATTGGCCGACTGTTCAGTGAAGCTACCTTGTGGTGAGCTTGAAGATGTCCCTATTCAAGTTGGGCATATCTATGTGCCTTGTGATTTTGTAGTGATGGATATGGAAGAAGATGTGGATACACCTTTGATTTTGGGCCGTGAAGCTCTTAAGGCCTTGGGGGCGGTAATCAATTGCAAGAACAACACCAGGCCATTACATGCGAGGTAGCCGATGAAAAAATTGTCTTTGAATTATCTAAGCTCCTCAAGACCCCCATGGTTGAGAAGTGTTATAGGGTTGATGTTGTAAATTAAGAACTAGATCGTTTGGGAAGGGTTATGATGAGTTCTCAAGATCCAATGGTTGAAGCTCTCACATGTGAGGAAGAGTACTTCTCTCAAGAAGCAAAGGAGTTTGTTATGGACATTGAAGAAGCCAAAGAGGAGGAAGCGAGTGATTCCAAGCATGATGAGCTAGAACATGAGGAGGAAAAATTGGAGGATAGTTCTAAGCCTCCTCCCAAGGTAGAACTCAAACCCCTTCCCCCTTCTTTGAAATATGCTTACCTTGGAAATGAAGGGGAATACCCTATTATTGTCAATGCTTCCCTTAATGGTCTTGATTTGGAAAAATTGATTGTTGTTTTGAGAAAGTATAGAAATGTGATAGGGTATAGCATTGATGATATCAAGGGTATTAGCCCTTCTTTGTGCATGCATCGTAATCACCTTGAAGATGACCAATCCACCTCCATTGAACCTCAAAGGAGGTTGAACCCCAACCTCCAAGTGGTTGTCAAGAAAGAAATTTTGAAATTGCATGAAGCGGGTATAATCTATGCTATCTCCGATAGCAAGTGGGTTAGCCCGGTTCACGTGGTTCCAAAAAAGGGTGGAATGACCATTGTCAAGGGAGAAGGAGGAGAGGAAATCTCCACCCGGACGGTGACCGGGTGGAGGATGTGCATTGATTATAGGAAGTTGAATAAAAATACTAAGAAAGATCATTTTCCTTTCCCCTTCATGGACCAAATGTTGGAGAGACTCTCCCATCATGCTTTCTATTGCTTCTTGGATGGATATTCCGGCTTTTTCCAAATTTCTATCCATCCAAGTGATCAAGAGAAAACCACTTTTACATGTCCATATGGGACATTTGCATACCGAAAAATTCCATTCGGGTTATGCAATGATCCCTCAACTTTCCAACGATGCATGACTTCCATTTTTTCTAAAATGCTTGAAAATGAAATTGAAGTTTTATGGATGACTTTAGTGTTGGTGGCTTGTCTTTTGACCCATGTCTTTATAATCTTGAGAAAGATTTGAAAAGGTGTCAAGAGACGAGTTTGGTGTTGAATTGGGAAAAGTGCCACTTTATGGTCAAGGAAGGCATAGTCCTAGGCCATAAAGTATCGAAAAGGGGCATAGAAGTTGATTCGGCAAAGGTTTTGGTGATTTCCATGTTGCCCCCTCCTACTTCTGTTATGGGAGTAAGAGCCTTTCTAGGGCATGCCGATTTTTACCGGAGGTTTATCAAAAAAAATTCATCAATTGCCAAGGCTTTGACCGAATTGCTCAAAAAGGATGTTGTATTTAGCTTTGATGAGGCTTGCCTTGAGGCGTTTCAAAAACTCAAGAAAGCCCTCATCTCCTCTCCCATTGTGCAAGCTCCGGATTGGAGCTTGCCCTTTGAACTAATGTGCGATGCTAGTGACCTTGCAGTAGGTGTCGTACTTGGACAAAAGAAAGAAGGAAGATCTTGTGTCATCTACTATGCAAGTAGAACGCTTGATGAAGCTCAAAGGAATTATACCACAACGGAAAAGGAAATGCTAGCGGTTGTCTTTGCCATGGATAAGTTTAGATCCTACCTTATATGCTCCAAGGTGATCGTGTACACGGATCATGTAGCGGTTTGTTATCTCATGACCAAAAAGGAAGCAAAATCGCGTCTCATCCGTTGGGTTCTTTCGCTCCAAGACTTTGACATGGAGATGAGGGACAAAAAGGGAGTGGAGAATATGTGGCGGATCATCTATCTAGACTTCCTTTTGGGAATAAGGAGGATGTGCCTATCAATGATGAGGTGGGGTTTGAGACCCTCATGGCTATTGTGTTAACATCAAGCCCTTGGTATGCGGACATTGCCAATTATCTAGTATGTGGATTCGTTCCCCCGGAATTCTCCTCTCAACAAAGGAAAAGATTTTTCAAGGAAGTGAGGAGGTATATTTGGAATGATCCTTATTTGTTCAAGAAATGTGGAGATGGCCTTTTCCAGAAATGTGTCCCGGATCATGAGATCGAGGGGGTTCTTGAACATTGCCACTCATTACCGTGTGGAGGGCATGGAGGAGTTGAAAAGACCGTGGCCAAGATCTCTCAATCTCTTCTTTGGTGGCCAACAATGCACAAGGATGCCCATAAGTTCATTGCAAGGTGTGATAAGTGCCAAAGGAGTGGCGGGATAACCAAACGTGACGAAATGCCTCAACAAAGCATTTTGGAGGTTTAGCCCTTTCATGTTTGGGGGGTCGACTTTATGGGGCCTTTTGTTTCTTCATGTGAAATCTCTATATCTTGGTGGCGGTGGACTATGTGACCAAGTGGATGGAAGCTATACCCTCCCCCACCAATGACCACAAGGTTGTGCTCAAGCTCCTTAAGAAGGTTATTTTCCCGCGATTCGGGGTTCCAAGAGTTCTAATTAGTGATGGTGGTTCTCATTTTGCCAAGAAACAACTCGAAGCTCTCCTCAAACGATATGGGGTTCATCACAAAATTGGCCTACCTTACCACCCCCAAACTCAAAGACAAGTGGAGGTATCAAATAGGGAGATCAAGAACCTCCTTGAGAGGATGGTGAACAAGTCTAGAAAAGATTGGGCTCTCAAACTCGATGATACTCTTTGGGCCTTAAGGACGGCACACAAGACCCCATTAGTACAACCCCTTACCGGTTGGTTTATGGCAAGGCTTGTCATTTGTCGGTCGAGTTGGAATACAAGGCTTGGTGGGCCATCAAGGAGCTTAATAATGGACCTTGGGGAAGCTGGAAAGAAAAGATTGATGAAATTGAATGAATTAGAGGAGCTTCGTTTCGATGTGTATGAGAATTCAAGGCTTTATAAGGAGCAAACAAAGAAGTGGAACGATCAAAGGATAAAGTTCAAAGAATTCAAGGTTGGATATGAAGTTCTACTTTTCAACTCTAGACTTCGTCTTTTCCCCGGAAAACTGAAATCCAAGTGGTCCAGTCCTTTCAATATTTCTAATGTTACTCCCTATGGGTCCTTTGAGTTAGATGCGGGCAATCATAAGTTTTGGGTTAACGGACACCGCATCAAACTCTATCATTCAAAGAACGAAGTTGGTCGTATTGAGTGCCTTAGGCTTGACCCCATGGATTACGAGCCTTCCCTTGTAGAACTTTTATGAATCGGAGCAACGGTCAAGCTAATGACCTCAAAAAGAAGCGCTTCTCGGGAGGCAACCCGAGCCCCTTTCTCCCTTTTATCCTTTGAGTTTTTGATTTTTCGTAATTAGATTATATGATTGGATCTAATCCCTAGTTGTTTTTATTGTAGGTCAAGTAGGCCTAAGGAAGGAGCACAATGGAAAGGATTAACGACATTCACGAGCGTTTTATGATCTCGGGATGAGAGCTCTCGAAGCCAATTCCGTAATATAGGAGTATTGTCGTTTTGAACTTGAACTTTTATATGTTTTTTATGGGGTTAATAATATTGATAAACAATTTAGTTTGATGTGTTAGGAATTTTTAGTAGAGTTAGAGAACATTTTGAGATTAATGGTAGGAGGAAAAATATTCTGTAGATGCCTTGAGAGGGCTCTACAGGGCGCACAAGTGTTAAGGCCAACAGAAGAAGGTTTCTGTAGATGGCAAAAGAGCCCTCTACAGGGCGCGTAGGAGGTTTGCGTGGGCGCGCACAATTTCTGAAAAAGAGCCAATGTTCTGTAGATGGCCTTCGCGCCCGTGAGAGGGCTCTCTCGCAGGTCTGCGCAGGCGCGCAGGTGATTTGCGCGGGCGCACACGATTCCAGTTCAGAAAAACGCAGGTATGCTTCTTTCATCCTCATTTTCACTCTCACGCTCTCACTTCTCTCTCCTAAACCCTAACCTCCATTACTAACCTCCATCATACCTCAAAATCTTCACCTTTCCTCCCCAAATCTCCCTCAAAAATTCATTAAACACTCACCATAATCTCACTTTGCACATTTTTGCTCATAAAAAACCCTTGAATCTCACCCAAGAGATTTCAAGAAAAACCCCAAAAAAACCCCAATCTCCCACTGCACGATTCGAACCTCCTAGGTAGAGTTTTTGTTCGAATTTTCATCTTCAAGAAGGTATATCTAACTTCCTAAGCCTAGTTTTCATTACATTTTGATAGAATTCATGATAGGCTTCTTAAATTTGTGATGTTTGTGGGGGAAATTTTGGACTCAATTCAAATACATGTTGTATTTTTGCAATTCTTATGATAATATTGACATGTATATGAGTACTCTGGCAAATATGTGATTCTAATGAAATACTTGTGGATGATTGCAATTTTTGGGATTTTCTTGAAATAGTTAGGGAATTGTGAATTTTTAGATATAGGTATTTGTGGGTTTATGATGTGTAAATTGTTGGCCATGAATTTCACGATGAGTGTGAGTAGTTTGGGAATTTTGACAATTGTTTGGGTGATGTATAAATCTCATGAGCTCCTTGCCTATTGACTAACTTTGTTACGTTGTTGTTGTATTCGTTGTGCTAATTGTTGTTTTGTAGGATTTCACTTGATAGTGCGATTGAATTTTTGGGTTAGTACTCTTCGAATTGTGGTTTGGGTTGATATTTTCGGTGTTTTGGTGTGAAATTATTTGTGGTATAAACCTTTGAGAAGTGGTTGGGGCGAAGATGTTGAAATTTTGTAGAAAACGATCAAAGAGTGGAAAGGAACCACAACCCTCCCAACCTTCCTAATCCCAACAAAATCAACCAACTTTACCCCCTCTTACCTTCCAAAATAATAACCACGAAGCCAACTACAAAAAAATGAAAGAGAGGAAGCTTAGACACTCCAAACATTATCACCGTCCTGCCACCGCAAGCTTAGACGTTGACGAAGACATTTGGGTACTCTTGAAAACCTCAATTTGGGTACCTTTGTGAACTCGGCTTTCAACACCTACCTTGAGCCAACTCTTGAATTCTTTTCCACTTTCTCCAGTGAAGCTGTGGGGGATGATGACTTCAGAGCAACCTTCCAGCTTTTCAACAAAACTCATACACTATCCTTGAGAGAACTCAACATTGCCCTGGACTTTAATCTAGATGCTAACCTTGTCGCTCCCGAGAACTCCTCCTTCGAAGGTTATAATGAAAGACATTGGTGGAGGGGGATCACGGGAAAAGAAGAGTTCAACACCCGTTACTCTTTAGCCAGTGAGATAGTTCACCCGGCCCTAAGAATCCTGCACCGTATACTTGGATACGCTATTTTCAACTAGCAGGATTTAGGGAAAAGAAGAGGTCAATATGGTTGGCCTCCAGGCTACACTGGAGGTTGGGATCCCCATGGCCCACCTGACGGCTTCTCTTACGGGGGTAAGGGGCCGAACTCCGGTGATGCTAGCCCTAGTGGGCATTAGCCCCCTGTCCTTCCCTTCCCTTGTTTTGTCTTGGAGCAACGAGGTCGTTGCTCTTTCTAAGTGTGGGGGGGGGGTATAAGTGTTAGGTGTCGATTCTTTTGTATATAAGGGGCTTGCATCACTATAGTGTGGGGTGGAAATCTTAGCTTGCTGTCTATTTCCGCTGCTTTTATTTGATATCCTGTTGTTTTTGCTGTTTATGATGAGAAGATCTAATCCTTTGTGTATAGTTTATGCTCCATTTCTTTCTTTCTTTTCGGTGTGTTTTCCTTGTCTCACTGATGCAGATTAAAGAAGGAACTTCAAAAACAACTCACCCGCGCTTCAAATTGCAAACCCGATGGTGAGTATGGTATGACTGCGCATTCCAAATTCAAGCGGCATTCGGTGAGACCCTTCCTTTTTCTTTTTGGTGTGTTTAGTTTTTTTTCTTAGCCTAGGAAGGAGTTGAATGGTTTGAGGATGTTTGCATGCGGTTCCAAGGAACCTGGGATCGTTGGTATTGATACCGAACGATCACTTGTATGTCGATTGGGATTTATTTGGATCTTTATGCATCATATGTGAACCCTCTTTACTCCTTTCTTTTGTTTCATTCCCTTTTTTTATTTGTGATAAGCGTAATTATGGCATGATGATATAGTGATATTTTGGAACTTGCTTACTACATTCGAACTCTATCTCCGTGATGATGCACCTTAGAATGCTTGTTTCTTTGTTCTTAACTTTGTGATGAGATGCACATTTCGAGATTGTTGTTGATTGAATTAGTCGAGTCTTAGTCAAGGTAGCAAAGGCAAGAACTAGTGATGGCATTTAAACCCTTAGTTCACGATTTGTGGTATGATGGAGTTGCTCCTCATAGTGGATTTAACGCCCCCTAGTTGGTAGTTTCTTACTCTTCTCGTCCCTAGTGAGGTTCATTTTGTTCAAGCCTTCATCAAATTGTTGGGCATTTTTAGGATCCTCATCTATGCATGTTTGAATCCTTGTGTTGATCGTTAGCTCCCAAGATTGTGACCTTGGACTTTTGGGGGAGGAAAAGGGCACCATTTCTCATTTTCATTTATATTTTCTTTCATTTAGTTACAAATTTGATTTTCACTTTTGCATCAACCTACTTGCCAAACAATTTGAGCCTAATGTTTCCCATTCTTGTCTCACCCCCATTACAAGCCTAACGACCTATGTTTTACCAACCCTTTTAGTTAGTGAAGCACTGGGCTTGTAAGGCTAGTATGAAGAGTGTAGTGGATATGAGCATGAACCTTTGATGAAATTTGTTTGGAGCAAATTCTTGAGATGAAAGTCTAAATTTGAGCATGAAAGAAAATTTGGGAAGTGTGATGCTTTGAGCTATAAAAAAAAAAAAAAAAAAAAAAAAAAAAAAAAAAGAAAAAAAGTGATATGAGAAATTGATCTATCTTGTATATCCTTGAATAAAGTTAGTGATGAGAATGAAATCAAAATGTTTGGATGTTCGTTTGAGTTCTGGTTATGTCTTGAGTTTTGACCTTGAGGGCTTCCCTTCCTCTTGCTTCACTTAGGGATTGCCGCCACTATTTCAAATTGTTCTTCCGACCTCTACCTTAAGCCATGTCATTACAACCCATGTAAAGCCCCTTAGACCTTAGAAGTACGTGGTCATTAACCGGTGGAGGGAGATGGTTTTCAACCCTATGGAAAGAGCATGTATAGATGAGATGTCGGGATGATCTTTTACCTCCTCAAAGTAATTCTTTTTTCCAATTCCTTCGTGGAATCATGAGGAGCCACCTAGGGGGATGATTTGAAGCTAGGGGGGAACGCGGACCGTTTTAGAGGGGACTAGGGAGGAAGATGACTAATTAGTTCTCTGTGCTTGGCTTAGACTTGAGTCTTGCAATCTTTAGCATCTTGAGAAGTGCGTGCACCATTTAGATGAGAATGACTAATATTCTTTGATGTTGTTTATCATGGTTGAGCCCGAATAAAGCAATTGTCCATCTTGAAATTCGATGTTGTTTTTTTTAAGCTATGCCGAATTATGTTTATCTTTGTAAGGTTTGATTTGTATTTTTCTTATTGGTATTTGCCAAGAGTTGGGGGTTAATCTCTTAGGAAACCTTCACGAGAGCATACTCGTCCTTATAGGCGACTTTGAGGTTTAAATGGCTTGTTATTTGCGCTAAAAACAACCGTGATTCCTACGAAAGTGATTTAGTGTATATTCTTGTGTCTTTATTTTATTTTTAATCTTGGTTGTCTGCCTTTATTTCTAATTTGGGTGGTGATCTTGCTTGAGGACAAGCAAGACGTAAGTGTGGGGGAATTTGATAAGTGGCATTTATGCCACTATTCATGATCCTTTTTCCTACCATTTCCCTCCATTTATTGCTTATTTAGCCCTATTTTGCCGCACTTTTCCGTACATTGCACAACAATTCTATTTCCCTCGTACTTCCCCTCTACTTTACCTTTTTGTACAGTTTTTGGGTGTTTTCCTGTGTTTTGCAGGTAAACCAATCGATACATGAAGTAGAAGAAAGTTCAGGATAGTTTCGAGAGCCGGTTTAATGAGCAAATCAAGAGAGGAGCTTTTAATCAGGCTGCGCGCCCAGGAGAGCCCTCTCTCCCGCTCTGCGCGGGCGCGCAACCCAAGGGACAGGGTGCGCATTCAAGGCCAAATCAGGATGTATACCTTGTAGATGCCTCGCGCCCTGTAGAAGGCGTGCTCATCATCCTGCGCGGGCGCGATGATTCCTGGAGAGGGCGCGCAAATTAGCTTGAACT